TAAATTGGTTCTCATGAGCATTGTGGATTTTTCTCTGATGACGAGCACACATTAAAATCTGTATTGCCTTTTGATCCGAAACATAATTTCTGTCAGTGGTAGCAGGTTGTTTTGAACATTAAATATAGGATGGGTTGGAGCAATTTTGCTGAAGTGAAGTGTCAAACATTGCACAACCACAGAAATGTACAGTACAAAATATCATTTCACACATTGTATCTGTACTGATTATTTAACGTTAGTCCATTTACTTGCCTTTTCCCCACAACATTACAAATTATTCAATTTTAGATAATGTACCCAGTTCAGTTCACTCTTGAAAGCTCATATGGATTCTGCCTCGACCACCATATCGAGCACGACGTTCCACGACAATAACAATTGTCTGTGTTTTTTTAAAAAAAATTAATCTCGCTTTTGGTCCTTTGCTAATTATATCAAATTGGAGGATATGGTAATAGAAACATAAAAAATAATTAAAAATCTATTCTCTTCTATTTTTCTCTCTCTCCCCCCACCCTTCCCCATTTATTTCTGCTTCAGATTTGCTTTGGAATGAAGCACCACCCACTGTATCTAGTATTTATAGTCGATTAGCTGTTACAGGAAAGAGCTCAAATGTGCACCAGTTACTGAGGAAGTGACTGCACTGATCCTCGACCTCCAGCCCAACATTTACATTTCACTAACTGAATAATCTCTGTTTAAGTGGATTAAAATCAATCTGGGAAGAAGACTGCTTATACAGGCTGCATTGCGTTCAGTTTTGCAGGGGATTAGTCATTTTGAAATTGGATCTTGCTTGCTCTGTAAGAGATGCAGCATTTTTCATTAAGAAAAATGCCTGATTCTGCTAGAAAAGTGGTGGTGATGGGGGTGGTGGGATTTTTACTGAGTGATCGAAAGGGCTAGAAGGGGAAGAATGCAATGTGTATCTACGCATTTGTGCTATGCTATTGGAGATCCCTGGAGGGATTTGAAGCATTGGATTTTCAGCATTGTGCAATGTGTTTTTTATTTTCCTGATATGTGATGCTATGCACTTGTAGTATGTGACAACAGCAGTTGCTTCACTGCAAGCAGACTGCAAGTAGTCTTTGAGTTTTATCCCTGAGCTAGATGGGTAGCCGTGATAATGGACACTATGAGAGGTGACTAAAACGCAACAACAACGTGCTATTTTGAATTTCTGGAAATAATAATAATAATAATCCTTGCATATGATATAGTGCTTATCATATCTTCGAGATGTCTCAAAGTGCTTCACAGAATATACTGTAAAGTGAACTGTATATTTTATGGGTGAAACGCCACAGCCAATTGTACACAGCAGTGTCCCAAAAAGAGTCGTGGATTGAGTGGCCAATTTATTATTATAATTTTTTTGAAGGAAGTATTACCCCTGGATAAACGATCCGCCAATCAACTAAGAACCGGGTTCCTACTCACCGCTAGGCGAACAGAGGCATGTGGAGTAAGGAAACTTGCCCACGTTTCCCTTGCCAGGAATCAAACCCAGGTTTCTTGCTTGCTAAGCGAGTGCTCTAGCCACTGAGTCACAGGACTCCACAAGTCCAAATGTTCTGTTAGAATCTGTTAATCAGTTACTCCTATGATTTACTAATTGTGTTTTGTAGTATATTAAACCGTAAGTGTTTTCTTGTTGATTCATGCACCATTATAATCGAGAAATTGAACTGTGAAGGTTGTCCACGTGAATGAGTATCCTCTTGGTTGCTTTCCATTCGATTCTCTGATCACATGGATTCTTTGCTAATGAATTGTGGATCCCCAGAGTTAAAACTCCCCTTTCATTGTGTTCTTAAAAATAAAGATGAATATAATATTCATAATATTGTTCGTACCAGATGTAATAGTTGTATGAACAGGGCAGGAGAGATATGCAGGGATAGTTACTGTGAAACTTTAGGCAAACGTCTGATTGAAAGAAAAGTTGTGCTGGGTCTTGTAGCAGCCTGGAATAGGTCATTTATAGCTGACATAGTCATTTGATATGAAAAAGGTTGAGGGATGTGAGATCATGGTACTGTTTTCTTGGTGAGCTGTTTAATCTAACAAAGGGATTGAAATTTTGTTTGTTCTAAGTCTATCTCTCATTGTCTGTTTATATTTACGTTTTAGATTGGGAAGTTTAGAAGAAGGCTGAGTTAAGAGTGAGTGATGGTGGGTTAGAAATCTGTCCACTTTATCCCAGGCTGCATTAAGGCCCACATGTAAAGGTGAATTAACTGTTTTGGTGCATATCTCTGTATCCTCACGCCAATTCCAGTCACCTTTAAGCCTGAGTTCCAGTTGCCGATTTGGAGCTTGAAGCCACAACCTCCTGCCTCAGAGGCTGATATACTCCCACTCTCGAGAGCGTTGCAGCAAACAGCCTGCGACAGGGAATGAAAATGCGATTGTGCGTGTACATTCTGCATTTGGTCATCGTGCCGTCAGCTACACACTGGATTTGCTACTTCCTCTGAACATGCCTCCAGTTAAGCTATTGAAGTACCAAGTGCTTATGGAATATAAAAGGTTTGGGTGCTGCAACTGGGTGGTGCTGAGAACTGTTAGCGTCTCTTATATATGACAAGTGCTGACTGTGTCATCAGTAGCTTTAATTGTCAGGAAGCCTACGTTACTGGAAACCCATTTGGTGCATTAGACAAAAATGGTAAAGTGGTAGTGCGTGGAACAACTCTTATCATGCTGTGAGATTTTAACCAGATGGTTTAAAAAGTGTGGAAAGTGGAGCATCTTGGGTTAAATTGTGTGGGTTAGGTTTCATGTTCACTTCCTAGTTTGAATTTGCATGAATTATGCTGTTTCTAAGAAATGCTGTAATTGTCATGAGTCTGTTGAGTATTGGGGAAGTGGCAGTGGAGGACGATAAACTGAGGAACTAGCAATAAAATGATCATGAGTTCAGTTGCAACTGAATCTGTGTATGTGTGCCTTTTGTGTCAAATATACTTGCTAGATGAAAAAAGACCAAGGTCCATCTAGTTTCGCCTTCCACCTTCCTGGAGGTTGCATGCACATATGTCCCAAACTACCTATGTATTATATCCCACAATGTTATTTCCTAAGAGAAAAGGATATATAAGGATATATAATATTTGAGCAATTCCATTTTCAGTTTACTCGATTAATCTTAAGAAATTGGAAGCATTTGTCTATCTATTTACTGTCTTCAATATTATGGTTTTTAATAAGGATTATTTTTGTATTCTTTGTTTCTGTTTACTTTTGATTTAAATTCACCCTCATTCCAAATCTCTGTCTTTGCACCCTAAAGCGCTCCAAGATGCCGTCCAGAGTAAAGGGTGCTATACAAATGCAACTTGTTGTTGTTGTTGCTCCTGGGGCCAGAATAATTGAATGCCTCTAAATAGATTCTACCTTTTGACTCTATTTTTATTTTCACTTTCACCAAGTAGTATTAACACAAGCTCAGGCGCTCTCAGCTCAGGTATTGCATGGCCAAACTCTGATTAAATGTCTTCCTCCTCCTTTGCCCAAGCAATTTATTTAATTACCAGCTGTACCAGTTGCTGCTTTGCTCGCACCCAAAGGATGGAATGTAGATTGACACACAGACAGACATTTTGTCTTTATTTATACTCAGCTGGGAGGACTCCTGGTTGGGAGTTCTCCTTGTTGGAATGCATACATGTGTGATGAGCTTGTAGGTCATAGCTTTTTCTGGCGCTATTTTGTTGCAGACTATATTAGTATAGATGCATCTCTCTAGAAGAGTGTGTGATTTCCTCTGTCGGTACTTTGTTGCAGAATACCGTGCGTTCCTCATATTTTGGGGCTTAATTAACAATAACTAAATTAACATTTGTACAGCGCCTTTCATGTCGGGAGGACGTCCCAAAGCATTTTTTGAATATAGCTCATCAATGATAGGAGATCCCCAAATAAGAATATGCCCATGACAGTCCCCCATGCAAGACCTTTCAGATGAGGTATAAAACGTGTAAAAACATCAAACGTTTTTTGCGTTCTTGGCAGACAGACAGACACACGGGCGCTTCGTCTTTATTGGTATAGATAACCGCAAATACAGCGCCCCCCCCCCCCCCCCCCCCCCGCTGCATTGACATTTTTGCATTCCACACCAGGCTGTGTGTGACTGTCAATGCTGAGTTGTCATCGATTTCCGTTTTACACTTCTACCCACCAGATAGTGAACTGTAACTGTTCCTACTCGAATGGAATACTTCTAGCCTGTTCTGAAATATTTTCAATTTAGGAACTGTTGGAATTGGCCAACGCGATGCCGAGACAGAAACTGGTTGATGCAGAGCTGGAAGGTCCCTCCATTGGTGCCGAGCTAACCAATCAGCTAAGGCAGCACTGGGGATGACACATATATCCTTCTAAGCGCTCCAATGCAAGTTATTCTTCTCCATGTCCCTGGGCTATCCAGTGGTACCGCTGGAAAGTGTGAGGCTAAACATTGGTTGAAAATGGGATTGAATTTGTCTTATCTCCCTCCTCCACTGTATCCAGGCACATTCTGATGGAGGGTCAACGCATTCCCTCATGCTCATACAGTATTTTTAAATGTTTGGTGTTGTATTACCGGACCATCGTAACTTAAAAAGGAAAGTGCGTGGAATTCAGTGGTCCTTGTTGAAGCCTTGTGGCAACTCCCAGTGCAGTAATGTGAGCTCATACCAACTTGACACGTCCCTTCTCCCATCCCCCTCCCTCCCCTTTGCCAGTACCGCTGAGTTCTTCTTTTCAGACATTATGCCACAGGGAAAGAGAGAAAACAGTGACCTGCCCTTTTGTGTCTTCATAGCAATATTTCAGAGTTGGGGTGTGGGAGCAGGTTGTTTGCCTGCCTACTCCCTTGGGGCTATGATGTGTCCCAGAGAGAAAATGGTCATAGGGGGAGAGAAGAGGTTCAGCACAAGTCGAGCAAACTCCCAAGTTGAACTGCGAATCGCCACTGTAATCCTGTACTTCTATCTCCACAGGTTTTAAATGAGGAATGCGATCAGAACTGGTACAAGGCTGAATTAAATGGAAAAGACGGCTTCATCCCCAAGAATTACATTGAAATGAAACCACACCCGTAAGTGAGAACATTTGGCCAACACTTGATCCACTAATGCAGCGTGTTGAATTGGTTGCTGGAATATGTCGTTTAGGGGTGGGCGACCCAGATTGTCTTTAATGGTGTGGTATTGTTATTTGTTGTTGCAAGATGAAACATATATTTCAAATACAATTTCCACATTCCTGAGAACTATTCAATTCAAGCACATTCCTGGCAATTTCTGATTATCCCCCGAAACTCAGCAGGCATTGAAACAAAAGTAGAAAGCTAACGATTGCCTCTTGTGACAATCACAGCTCTCTTTGGTTGAGAATTGGCTATGTTTTCAGACACCGCATTACAGGATAGCAACGTGGTTTCCCAACAGCACAGCCCAAAAGTCCCATTTCTCAGAGTCTCCCTGATTAGTATTGTTGCTTGTGCAATACTTTTTTTATGCAGTTGTTCCATGTGTAGTGTACATGACCATGCTTTTTGAGCAGTTTACGGCATTCCCATTGTTCTTTGAGACATTCTTTTACTAGAATGTGCTATATAAATACAATCTATTTTTAACTTGGAGGTGGCAAGTAAGGATCTTGTCCAGTACAATCCCAAATTACTAAATTGATGAGCTGTTTTCAGTGTGTATTGAAGCAGTGTAATCACAGAAAAAATTGCCTAGTTCTGCTCATTCTGCCTATGGTTTGCTGTGGTTGTGAACCTACATTTGTGTGCCTATAGTTTCTGCTCACCGTAGAGTGAAGTTGGCGCTGACAGAGGTGGACTTGTGAGCAATAGTCTGGTTCATTCGTCTTTTTAGATGCATCAAAGATGTGGTTGTAAAATATAATTTCCATGTCCAACAAAGATAATAAATTCTCAAAGAAATCAATTTTGACCATCCACACATTTCTAATGGAGTCGGTATCGGCTAACATAGGAACACCACTGAATCTTTTCCTTTGTTTGACTCCATCTATGGGCTACATTGCCAAAGTGTGTTGAGGAAACACACTTCCAGTAGAGGTTACTGGAAAGCAACCAGGATTGGAAACTCTGGCTTTATTTCCTTTCTTAATCTTTGGTGCTGATGATGGTGTTTATGCAACTCTTCTGATCAGCTAACTCAGCACTTATCACAGAAGAAATGGTGCCATTCCCAGTATGCATGGCTTGATTACTTGCTGGATAAACTAGCTGAGCTTTTGGAAGAGTGCACCACAATTTTAACAAAGCAATCAGAAGCTAATCAGTCTGCTGGGATTTAACTGTCTGCTCTGGAAGCTCGTCTTCTTAGCAGTTTGGTTTAAAAAAAATGCAAAGCTGTTACCTGGAATATAATTCAACTTCAATATCTGCATTAAGACGTCATATCAAATGCAAGGATTATTATTATAGTATTATCAATGTGAAAGTGTGCTGAATTTTATTTGGATGTACATAGACCGTGGCTTGTTGTACATGTATGGTTAGGAAAGAGTGGCTCTCTGATTAATGGAATCCACGGTATTAATTATAAGAATGAGGCTTAAAACAAATGCTCTAATGTGATTAGCAATATTGCTACAGGAAGCGAGCCACTGGCCAAATACTGATGTCATTTTTTTTCCAAGTTAATAGTAATATATCTGGGGCTAGAGGGATTTGAGTTGTCGGAAAGACCCTTTTGCATTTGACTTAAATCTGCATATGTAGATTAGGTGTAATTAGCATACCTTTGCTCTTTTAACACATCTAGTGTGTATCTTTTTTATAATTGAGGCTTATTGGATTTTATAAGTCCTCTGATTTAGTACCATCAAATCCTCCAAAAGTCGTGTTTGATACGATTAAGAAGAATTAAGTGTTTTTTGTCCTTGAAATATATTCTCCCCAGCTTCCCTTTTCTTGCTTCTTTACGCCCTCTCTTCCCGTTCCTCTCCCGGCCCCCCCCCCCACCACCACCACCCCCCATACAAAAGTTTTTGAACTAAAATAACATGTCCAAATTGTGAGAGGCAACAATAAACAAGGTAAACAGGATGCTGGGTATTTTCGAGTGCTGTGATTAGCCCTGCCTTGAGTACTGTACACAGCTTGGTGACCAAAACAGAAATAGGCTGACCAGACACTCGAGGTAATGTAGAGAAGAGCAACGAGGATGATCGATCCCTATTGTTACAGAACAACAACAACAACAAGATTCCATTTATAGAGCGCCTTTCACGTCGGGAGGACGTCCTAAGGCGCTGGACAGTTGGGTCAGGATCCCAACAGGGGGGAAATGGTCAGGGGGAGGGAAGGGAGGGAGCGAGGAGGGGGGAAATGGTCAGGGTGAGGGGAGCGAAGGGAAGGGAGGGGGCAAGGAGGGGGGAAATGGTCAGGGTGAGGGGAGGGAAGGGAGGGGGAGAGGAGGGGGGAAATGGTCAGGGTGAGGGGAGGGAAGGGAGGGGGCGAAGAGGGGGTAGAGAGTTGAGAGGGGAGCTGAAGGCACGGTCAAAGAGACCGGCCTTGAAGGAGGAAAGGGAAGAGGCGGCGAAGGCACTGGGGATAGAGTTCCAGAGCCTCGGGGCTGAGAGGCTGAAGGCCCGGCCACCGATGGTAGGGCGGTTGGGGCGGGGGATGTGGAGCAGACCGGAGCCAGAGGAACGGAGGGTACGGGCAGGTAGGGAGGGGGATAGTAGGTCGGAGAGGTGAAATGAACTGTTGAGCATGCGACAAGCTAGGGCAAGCTCTTCGGTTTTGAAAGGAGGCATTGCAGAAGGGAATGTACAGAGGTATTTAAGATTTTAAATAGTATTGAAGAACTAAGCTCAGAACAGTACTTTCAGGTAAAGAGGAAGCAGAAAAAGAAGGCACAGGCTCAGTTAAGATGGTTATTCCGGAAGAATGAGATCAAATAGGCTATGGGGCCTTCTTCACCCAAGCCCCTCTTGTGAAACATCCAGGTTCAGCATGCAGTTTAAGCCCCGTTTACCTGATGTAGCAATAACAAACAAATCAATCTTCAAACCCATAGAGGAAAACAGTAACATGGCAGAAAATTTGTGTATTTTAAGGTAGAGATCACTGTTAGCATCAGTTGGATGATGTGGTGTAAAAACAAAATGTTTTACACTGCGTAATATGTGGTTGCTTGCAAAGGCAAGATCACCTAATGAAATACCCTAGCCACAAACTTGCTTAAACCCTTTCCAGACTCTGTTCTCTGATTGCCTCCATAGTGAAGAGCTTCAGGATCTCTTGTGTGCAAGCAACACAAATGTAAGGAGAAAGGGAAGTAATTTCATAATCTTGCTTTGGCTTTTCTAGAAGTAATTTCTCAAATGTTGGCACAGTGGGGCTCTAATTGGACTGTGTTCCAAAGTGCAGTCTAGACTGGACCCTTTACTTTCTGATCCTTTTTAGCTGTGCTGTGTAATATTGAACTTGGAGGTGTAAATATATTTGAATCTAATGTCACACCCATTTTTATCTTATATGTGTGACTGTATATAGAGATATACACATATTATACACACATAATATAACAGTCAATACGATCTAAGTCCCCATTCTTGACATGTGTGCAATTGGCTGCCGTGTTTCACACACAAAATACAGTCAATTCACTTTAGGTATTTTCTGTGAAGAGCTTTGAGATGTCTCTAAGACGTATTAAGGCGCTATATCAATTGTAAAGATTATTATTATGTCATCAGCACTGTGGAATAGCACTGTGGAATAGGTGCGGCTCCAAATACCCAGAAAGGGAAATTAATGCTGTAATTTTTTATTTTTTGAAAGTTTCCTTCAGTGAGTTTGCTGTGTGAAGATAGGTTTTACCACTAGCTCTGCAGTCCAGAGGCCCAAATAGTTTCCATCCAGTGGACATGAACTTTTAAATTTAAACAAACTTTTTTTTGGTTCAATACGGATATCTAATTTAAGCCCTAATTTTATCAGTCAGTAGCTTGGAGATGATTGACAGTCCACAGCACATCTAATATTGTAGAGTAGGGTGTCAAACATACTGTACTGTTGGTGGCCTGCAATGATACTTGGCGATCTGTTCATTAGTTTCTAAAATTGCATTGACATCCCTGTTTGAGAGGCTAGAATCTCAGGCCATTTTTCTGCTCAACTGGTTTATATAGTTTTTGGACTGGAACTATGATGACATTTCTCCGTAGCCTGCAAATAATGATGCATTCATTTAGCTGAATTGCTGGCCTATTAGTTTGTATACCAATAAAGTACAGATTACAGCACAGGGTTAGTTTCTTCTAAACAGCCTGTTAGTTCCTTCTAAAAGCTATCTGAGATCTTAATAGGCAGCTGCTTGCCTCATCAGTTGTACAGAATATATTTGTTGCAATTAAAGCAAATCCCAGCATGAGTAAAGATGATTTGCTCACATCTAGCTGCCCAGTTTATTCTACTGAAGCACTAAATGGATCTTGATTGCGAGTCATGGAAAGGGGTTTAGAAATTCTTTGTACTGATCTGACTTCTCAAGGTCAAGATGTGAGCGAGAGGACCTGGATTTGATTCCTGGTCAAAGTGAAACGTTAGGCAAGTTTCCTTACTCCACACGCCTCTGTTTACCTAGCAGTAAGTAGGAACTGGGTTGTTAGTTGATTGGCAGATCACTTTTGCAAGGGTAATAATCCCTTTAAAAAAAGAAAGAAAAAATTAAAATAAAATAATTTGGTTATTCAATCCACACAAAATATATCCTCTGAAGCGCTTCGAGACGTCTTGAAGACGTGATAAGGCGCTATATCAAACACAAGGATTATTATTTCACCTCATATAGTTCCAGCTGACTGGGGTATCTAGTATTTTGATCATAAGACATAGGAGTAGGCCATTCGGCCCCTCGAACCTGCCCTGCCATTTAATAAGATCATGGTTGATCTTCTAACCTAATTCCATTTACCCACCTTAATCCCTCTATCCTTTAGAAATCTATCAACCTCAGTCTTAAATATGTTCAAGGACTGAGCATCCACAGCTTTCTGGGGTAGAGAGTTCCACAAATTCACTACCCTCTGAGTGAAGAAATGTTTCCT